ATATGAACAAATAGATAAAGGGAGACTTTTTTTATTCCTTGTTTCGCATACTTATTTTTTAAAGATCATCGGAGGAGGGCAGAATAATAAATAAAAATTTTAATGTTTGCAGTGAAAGGCGTAATAAAAATGTAAAAAGACTTTTATTTTTTTCTGAAATTTCCATTTTCCATGGCGGCGGATGCACTAATTGGCCAAAAATAAAACTTTATTTTTATTCCAAATCATCAATATTAGCAGTCGGCGGGTTCGCTAAACACGGTATAAAAAATTCTTGCCTAAATAATAATAAAAGACGAGCAGGTTAACAGCATCACTCCACCCACCCCCCACCCACATGCTGCATCACACGCTCCTAAAAATATGTAATATTACATGTACTGAACATGATAAAGGCATTACTAAATATGTAATATTGTGTAACAAATTTAAGTACAATATAATTCACTAACAATAAATATATATTTACAGAAGCTAAAGCACATAGAGCAGGTGTGACACTACATACATTAGGCCTACTGTGTAAAGACCCACCAAACTGTATCTTGCATGACATTTGTCTGTTTCTATATACATTAGGTCTACTGTGTAAAGACCCACCAAACTGTATCTTCCATGGCATTTGTCTGTTTCTACATACATTGCCTACTGTAAAGACCCACCAAACTGTATCTAGCATGACATTTGTCTGTTTCTATATACATTAGGCCTACTGTAAAGATTCACCAAACTGTATCTAGCATGACATTTGTCTGTTTTTATCCCCAGATGTCAATTACGATGCATTCACAGCATAGCATTAAATGGGAATACCAACATATTAAGCACTTCAAATTATGTATGATAGAAGGTCATTAAGTTGATATGTACAATATTGTGTATTACAGAGTATGTTTGCCCGACATATATATACATATATACATACAAGTACATATATATATATATATATATATACATATATATATATAGTGATGACATATATACATATAAGTACATATATACATATACTTCATCGGCATAAGTGATATGTAGTGATAGTTATAACTGTAATACTTTATTTTGATTTTATTTACATGAAACATTCCTATAAATAAATCATTATAGGAAAGTTACCCACTAGAAATAAAGTTAAGATTAAATAAAAATAAAAATTCATAATTCATATTCATAATTTTATTTTATAAGAGACTGGTAACAAAGGGAAATATTGTAGTCCCTATACAAAGTCCCTATCAGAATAACATAACAAATCAATAAGCACAAAATCAGTAGGCCAATGTTATACTTAAGTTAATACAGTAATTACCAACACTCAGAATAAATAAATAAAAGAAGAAAATTATTTAATTAATAAAATAAAAATAAAGAAATAACAACGATAAAAAAAGAATTAAATAAATAAGCAAGTAGGCCAATGTTATACTTAAGTTCATTCAGTAATAACCAACAATAAGAATTAATATACAAAAAAAGAAAATTATTTAATTCATAAAAAAATTAATAACTATGAAAAAAAAATGTCTAAATACTTGGGTGAATCTGTCAGCTTAATCAATAATTTACGAGCATGATATTTAAGGCTCTTGTTATGTTTTCATATGTTAAAAGAAATGCTATTTTAAATATCAAACTTGTATGTTATAATATAAAATGCCATTCCTATTTAATATACTAATTTTTCGTAGTCTGTGTTTCAGGGATATCAAAAAGGTTATTTATAGTACAGGTTATATTTATATGGGTCTAATATATAACATTTAATGGGTCTAATATATAACATTAAATGGCAATTATGATACATTGATAAATGAAAGCTAAAATTTGAATGCAAGATAAACAGAGCAACCGCTCACCAGGCTGCGCGTTCCTCCAAGCTTAAATACGGCACAGGGTATTATATTGGGTTTTTTGAAGAGCCAATAAGATAGAAATTTTTTAATAATTAGGATGTTTATTTGTACCAAAAAAATTATTATTTAGAATGTTCATTTGTACAAAATTAAAATATCTTAAAATTGAAAAAATAAAATATCTCAAAATAACAAAAAAAAAATAAATTGACCAAATACCAAAGACGCGATTCAAACTCACAACCTTAAGTTCTTTAGAACACATCCTTAACTGACCACGCCATCCAAGAACAAGAACAGTGAGGCTCTGGGTCAGTGCCTTGTGCGGACCCAACAACCACGGAGTAGCCAAAAGACAAACTATCTATACATTTAATATCTAATAATGAGGTCAGAGTTTTAACCTCTTCCATGCATTTAGCTTCACTTCATTTAACATTTTGTACTATGTATATGCACCTTAAAAAACAGTACATATGGTTATATATTTGTGTATGCAAATGTAATATTTCTGTTTGCCAAATAGTTTGCCTATTATGAAGGGACTGCCTCTCTTCAATGAATTGTGTTTAATCAGTGGTAAGTAAATATAAACCTATACAAATGACCATAACATAAAATTACAAATTGATGGCAACCACAAGAGCTATTGTTATGTATAATATCGTTGCGATTAGAGAGTCTGTTAATCCTGGCACTCACTGTGTTGTACGACAGTTGTAAGACTGTCGGCCAATGAATCCAAGTCCGCTTCATGTAAGTGCTAGACGACACAGTGATGTCTGCTGATTGTCTATGACCGCCTGAACGGATCGTCATTAAAAACGATCCGTTGCGCATGCGTCATGGCATTGCATTCTTAGAATCTCATCAGCCAACAACCGTCGGCCACACAGGGTTGAGAAACATTATTGATTTGAACCCAGAACTCAGATCAGAAGGCAATCACTTTTACTACCAAGTTACAGCTCCACTTTAATAACGACCAGCAGTGATGCTGGGATTTTATTCAAACTTGACATGATAGTGAATGGCTGTCAATTTGAGGTTGGAGTGTCCAAATTATATGTCTCTCTCTCCACCCAAGAGCATAAATGGGACACTAGAATGGAGGAGTCCATACATAGGCCATCAACTTATATGATATGCAATATATAACAATTCATGAAGTGAACCTACAATATAGAGTCCCTATGTGCATTTGTTTAATACTGTACACTTGTAAAATAAACACAATTAGGGGCGGCTTTTAGTTGCTAAATTGCTACTCAACTAAGGGTTAGAGAGTACGCGAGAATGACCAACATCATTAGCATTCTAAGATCATGATGCTATTTTCGATGTAAACTGTTTGCACAAGATCATGATGACAACGTGCGATGTGATTGACCCTTGAATGTAATGATAGGCCATGGTAGGCAGTTAAAGCATTTGTACACCAGTCTGTTACTTTGATGTTATAGATATCAATTATATACAGTATCATTTCATCTTACCTTTATGAAATTTTTTGCAGCACAGCCTATTGAAAGCATTATCCAAGAGATGTTTTTCTATGGTTGAGTCACTTGCGAACAGTCTAGACGCATTAGTTATTTAAAACCATGGCAACACTTTCATGCGAATCTAGACAGAGTTAAGCCTGAAAATTAAACACAGAAAAACAAGGTTTTTTTTTTTATTTTCAAGTGTTAAGATTTTGTAAACAACTTTAACCACAAAGCAAGGGTAGAGTAATATCATTTAAGGTTGTTATGCATGAATATTTATACATTCTAACATTTTATTATTAAATCTTAAATGCAGTACAATTTATTATTTATGCTGTTGCGATAACTTAATTTCATGTAATAGGATTTGTTTATTTATTTATCCTTACAGATCTTTTCTGAGCTAAAACTAACATTATTGCTTCCTACGTATTATGAACTTCCCAAATAAAAGCTCTTTTTTTACAAATGCGATATGTGGTGATGACATCATTAAGGACAATCTTTCTAAAAACTAAAACATTACAACTGCAATAGACCAAGCAGCTGAATTACTGACACTTGCTTTTTGTTCGCTGGTGGTGCTGCTGCTGTTGCAAAGTGTTGTTTAATGAAATTTACAATCGATGTAACACTCATTTAACTTCTCAATGATTGTGTATTATTCAAAATTCAATTCAAATGAGTAATACATAGTGACTACAGATATTTTTTGTACATCAAAAATGAACACAATAATACACTATATATGTATTTTTAATAAAAAAATTTTACTATGGAAAAATCTAGAAACACACGGCAGAATATTATATCAGTCGTATATATAACGTATATAACATATTAATAGGACTGTGCGGTTCACATTATTACACCTGTCATTGAAATAAATTGACACATTACCAACACCCTAGAGTAAGTATTTCAACTACAAGGTACCCACTTAAATTTTGGAGTGTGAGGATAAAATCTCAAAACTCTTTAAAAAAATGAATATCCTGGGATTTGAACCATAACTTTCTGTGCACATCTGCAAAAGTTATTGTACCTACAGATGTTATGGGAATCAGTCTTTAGCCAGTCTGGTCCACAGCCAACCTAATTCTATTATAAAGGTTAAAGGTTAAGCATTTATACTGTGCAAAATACGAGGGTCTCTATGCGCAAAAATAAGTGAACAGATACAGTATAATTGGAAAAATAAGGAAGGGAGAACTCCAAGCCAGCACCTAAACCGCAGTATGGGAATATGCCCTAATCGCTGACCAGGGATCTGTCAAAATGTACCCTGTCTCACCACCAGTCGAGTCTCGGCCATCCCAGGATTCAGATGCCTCCTATCCTGTTAGAGAGGAAGATGAAGCTCTGGACCATGGACTGATTTTGATTTTGTTTTGAGTTTTGTTGTATTTATTTTCTGGGTCCCATTACATACTGCATTTCTCCCCTTCACACTCCCTTCCGTCTCTCTATCACATATGTGACTTTGTGTTTGTA